ATTCTATTACCAGTCCTAATTCCTCTAGGGGAGGTGTCCCTATTAGAAAGTATATGTAGGAGATGTGTCATTAGTCTAGATGAGTTTGAGTTCATCCTTGACCTGATCGTTTTGCGGATGTCAGATTTCGATGTCATTCTTGGTATGGATTGGTTTTCATCATACCATTTCAGTATCGACTATTTTGTTAAAACAGTCAGCTTGTGAGAATTTGTTGGGTTTGTATAGATAGTAGCAAACTAATAAGGTGACCAGAATGCGGAGTTATTCATGGTATACGTCAAGGAGGTGATGCTGAAGGACTGAAGTGCTGATTGTGCGAGACTAGAGTTGTCTCAGATTTTTAGGATGTCTATCAGGACATACCTAGATTTACCTCCAGTGAGAGAGGTTGAGTTCTTCATCGAGTTGCAGCAGAGCAAACTACAGATATCCTGAGCACCCTATCATATGACACCTACTGAGATGAGAGAGCTACAGACTCAGCTAGATGAGTTGGTATCTTAAAGTTTTATTCACCGGAGTCTTTTTCATGGGAGCACTGATCCTCTTCATAGAGAAGAAGGATAGTAGCATGTGATTTTGTATTAATTATAGTGAGTTGAACAAGGTCATTATCTGAAATAGGTATCTGCTACCGAGGATTGATGACTTGTTCGACCAGTTGTAGGAAGCACAGCATTTCTCGAAGATTGATCTTCATTCTGGCTATTATCAGTTACGGGTTAGGAAGATGGATATTCCCAAGACCGCCTTTCTGACTCGGTATAGGTCCTTCGAGTTTCTCGTCGTGCTATTTAGGCTGACGAATGCACCCGCGATATTCATGGATCTTATGAATCAGGTTTTCCGTCCATACTTGGACCAATTTGTGATAGTGTTTATTGATGATATTCTTATTTATTTAAGACCAGAGGCAGAGCATGAGCAACATCTTCGTCTAACTTTGCAGACTTTACGGGAGCACCAGTTATACGCTAAATTCAACAAGTGCAAATTTTGGCTATCTGAGATTAGATTTCTTGGTCACGTCATTAGAAGAGAGGGTATTGTAGTAGATCCAACAAAAGTTGAGGTAGTACTTGATCGGGAGCCACCCAAAATCATTATAGAGATTCATAATTTCTTGGGTTTGATCGGTTATTATAGAAAGTTCATTCAGAACTTCTCAAAAATTTCTATACCACTTACACGCCTTACGAAAAGAGTTCACAGTTTGTTTGGAGCACGGAGTGCCAAGTGGCCTTTGAGACATTAAAGGCCAAGTTAACTACAACGTCGGTGTTGACTATTCCGAGCAGTGATAGGACATTCGTTGTCTACACGAATGCGTCGTTAGTGGGTCTAGGATACTTTTTGATGTAGACCCAGAGGGTAGTGACATACATCTCATGGCACTTGAGGACACATGAGCAGAACTACCCCACGCACGATCTAGAGTTGGCAGCAGTAGTCTTTGCATTGAAGATATGGAGATATTACCTGTATGGGGTATAATTTGAGTTATTCACAGACAACCTGAGTCTGAAATACTTATTTTCTTAGAAGGAACTCAATCAGAGGTAACGACGATGGGTTGATTTTATCAAGGATTACGAGTTCACGATTCAGTATTATCCGGGAAAGGCGAACGTCATAGCAGACGCTTTGGACATGAAGCATCGATATTAGATTTTGACCCTAAGATGCTCGTTATATCGAGATCTTTATATTCTTAGTCAGATTGATTTTAGGCCAGAGATTGGTAGGACCAGCGTATTTTTAGGGGTTGTGTCAATGCAGCCATCTTTGAATGATAGAGTAGTTAGAGCACAGCTAGAGGTTTCTAAAAAGCCCAAGGCGGATTGGTCCGTTAGAGTAGATGGAGGCCTTCGGATGGAAGGCCGATTAGTGATACCAGCTAATACACAACTGAGGAAGGATTTGTTTGATGAGGCAAAACTAAAATGTATAAGGATCTGAAGAGACACTATTGATAGAGCGGTATGCGTAGGGAGATCACAGAATATGTGGCTAAATGTTTTAGTTGCCAGTAGGTGAAGTGACACAGCGCAGAAGTTGTAACCTCGGAATCCACTAAGGGTGTTCTCTGAATCCACAAAGAACGATCTTCGAATCCACAAAGAGCTTCGAATCCACGAAGAAATATTGAGGAAAAACAAAATTTTATTAATCAAAAGTTATGCCTCTAGGGCTTACAAGACTCTTCTTAAATAGAAAAAGAAACAAGACTCCTACAAGGACTCTAATTCCTACAAGGACTCTCAACTTACCAAAAATGGTAAAGAATTCCTAAAACATTAAAACTCCTAAAAAGACTCCTTATGATTAGGAAAGTCCTTCGGTCAAATCTGAGATCAAATCGGATTTGTTTCCTAAACAAAACAGACTCCTAAAATATTACCAAAAATAGTAAAAACGGATAAAAATGCAAATATCTCTCAAACCGTAAGGAATTTGGTGAAACTAATAATGCAAACCGAACCTGAAGGGGTAAGTTTGGATGGCTTCGTCCCGTTGAGATAGTCGATTTTTATATATAATTCGTCCAATTCCGACATACGGTTTGAAAGTTACGGTCGTTTCTTCGAAACAAGTTATTTTCTTTGACCAGGCCCGCATTTAGACTTGCGACTATCCCACTTTGACATAAACGTGTCTGCTGTGTGTTCTACATCAGTCCCCCCTGCTTGAAAAGAGCTCGACCCCGAGCTTACACTTGCATGAATAGTTGTTTCTTCTGGTGGATAATACTCAAACAAATCTGTAACATTGAAACTAGGAGAAATACCCAAATCTGTAGGAAGGTCAACCACATAAGCATTGTCGCTAATCTTCTTCAGTATTTTGCATGGACCACACTTCTTATTCTTCAGCTTGTTGTAGGTGCCCACGGGAAAACGTTCTTTTCGCAGAAACACCATCACCATGTTGTAGGTGCCCACGGGAAAACGTTCTTTTCGCAGAAACACCATCACCATGTCTCCTTCTTCAAACACCTTCTTCCTCCTCAGAAACACCATCACCATGTCTCCTTCTTCAAACACCTTCTTCCTCCTGTGTTGATCAGCATCGGCTTTGTATTTAGCATTAGACTGCTCTATTTTTTCCTTCATCTCCTGCTGGATAGCACGTATCTTTTCAACCATATGATCCCCAGGAACACTCTGTCTGGGAAGCTTAGGCAATGGAGCAAGGTCGAGATAAAGATTCGGAAGCCTTCCATACACAATCACAAAGGGTGCCTTGCCTGTAGTTCGACTCTCCATACAGTTATAAGCAAACTCAGCATGTGCTAAAGCAAGATCCTACTATTTCGGTTGATCTCCAGAGATGGATCTAAGAAGATTACCAAGTGTACGATTGACCACTTCAGTTTGGCCATCTGTTTGAGGGTGATAGGCAGTACTAAACTTAAGAGAAGTATTGAATCACTGCCACAAAGTTCTCCAAAAGTGAGATAAGAACTTAGAATCTCGATCGGATGTAATAGACTTCGGTACTCCATGAAGGCGAACTATCTTCCAAAAGAAAAGATTAGCAATGTTGCTCGCATCTGCAGTCTTCTTGCACGGAATAAAGTGCGCCATCTTCGAAAACCTGTCAACCACAATAAAAACAGAATCCATGCCTCGTTGGGTTCGAGGCAGTCCCAACATAAAGTCCATAGAGATATCATGACATGGTGCATCAGGAACAGGTAAAGGTGTATACAATCCCGTATTCTGAGACTGTCCCTTAGCAACTTGACAAACTGGACAACGCCGCACATATTTTTCTACTCCCTTCTTCAACTGAGGCCAATAATATCGTTCTTCAATGGCTGCAATTATTTTATCACGTCCCAAATGTCCTCCTAGTCCGCCAGCATGAAGGTCTCAAATTATCTACTCTCTTAGTGAACTCTGGGGTATGCACAATTGATCGTCATGAAATAGATAACCATCCTGAATATGAAAGCCTTTGACTGATTTATTTTGAAGACAGTCGTCCCAAATCTTCTTAAAATCTTCATCCTCTGCATATAGCTCCTTAAGGTACTCAAACACAATCACTTCAGCCTTCAAAGTTACCAACAATCCAGCTCTCCTACTGAGTGCATCTGCAACCTTATTCTGCTGCCCGGATTTATGCTTCAAAACAAAGGTGAAACGCTGCAGATATGCAATCCAACGAGCATGCATACGGTTGATGGTAGTCTGACTATTAAGGGTCTTCAAGGCCTGATGATCGGTGTGAAGCAGAAACTCTCTCGAGATCAAATAGTGCTCCCATTGCTTCAAAGACTGAACTATGGCATATAACTCCAGTTCATATGTGGTCCACTTCTGCCAAGCTTCACTGAATTTCTCACTGTAAAAGATAACTAGACACCCTTCCTGAGATAAAACACCACCAATTCCTATGATGGACGCATCACAATCAACTTCAAATACTTTTTGAAAATCTGGTAGTGCAAGCACAGGTGCGGTGGACAACTTCTCCTTGATCAGTGCAAAGCTACGATCTGCATCTTCCCCCCAATTGAACTTTCTTTTCTTCATGCATTCAGTTATAGGTGCTACAATGCTGCTGAAATTTCTTACAAATCTCCTATAGAATGTTGCTAAGCCATGAACACTATGAACTTCGCTGACAGTCTTCGGGATAGGCCAATCTCTAATAGCACGAACTTTCTCTTCATCAACATGAATACCCTCTGCACTAACAACAAAGCCTAGAAACACGAGGCTACAGGTCATGAAGTTGCACTTCTTCAGATTGATGTATAACTTGTTCTCCTGCAAAACTGTTAGTACCTCCATCAAGTGGTCCAGATGTGCAGCCTCACTCTGGCTATAAATCAGGATATCATCAAAGTAAACTACGACGAACTTGCCGATAAAGGGTTTTAATACCTGATTCATCAATCGTATGAAAGTGCTAGGGGCATTAGAAAGACCAAAAGGCATGACTAACCACTCGTACAGGCCTTCTTTTGTTTTGAAAGTAGTCATCCACTAATCTCCTTCCCTAATCCGAATCTGATGATAGCCGCTTTTGAGATCTATCTTGGAGAACACTTTTGAACCAGATAACATGTCTAGCATGTCTTCCAAGCGTGGAATAGGAAATCTATACTTCACTGTAATCTTGTTGATAGCCCTACTGTCCACACACATACGCCACTCTCCGTTCTTCTTTGGGACTAGTAGTGCTGGCACTGCACACGGACTCATGCTAGGTCGTATAAGGCCCTTCTGGACGAGATCATCCACCTGCTTTTGCAAAATCTCCCCTTCCTTCGGGTTCATCCGATAGTGTAGCAGATTTGGTAGTCGAGATCCAGGGATGAAATCAATCTGATGTTGCACGTCTCGAAGCATTGGTAATTCAGAGGGTAGATCGTTAGGCATAACTGTATCAAACTGCTGTAAGAGGGTTTGAACTCCAGGTGGAATTTCGGCTGTGGTAGAATCCTCCTTTCCCGATAAAACAAGAGCATAAACCTCATTGGACTGCTTCACTTCTTTCATAAAATCTTCATTGTCAACGGCCAAGAAAGTCTTCTTTTCAGCCACATTGGTATTGACAGGCCCCTTCTCAGTTAGAGGCTTGAGCACAATTCGTCGACCATCCTTCTTAAAGATGTAAACGTTATCTTTCCTCCTATGCGCGGCATCAACATCAAACTGCCAAGGTCTGCCTAACAACATATGACATGCATCCATCTCTACTACATCATACAATGCCTCATCCACATAAGTTCGGCCAATAGAAAAGGATACCCGACACACTTCATCAACCTGTACGTCATTACCCTTGCGAATCCAGCCGATCTTGTAAGGAGCGGGATGCTTCTCCGTCTTCAGCCCTAACTTCTCCACCATACGTCGAGAGACAATATTCTCGCTGCTCCCACTATTAATGATGACATCACAGATCTTCTGTTGCACCGTGCATCTCGTTCGAAAGATGTTATGCCGCTGTGGTGGTTCTTCTGCTTTTGGAGCCAACAATAGTCGCCGCACAACACATGTGAGTTGTTCCCCATCATCATCAGCATCCAACCCACCATCACAGTCTTCATCATCGTCTTGGTCTGCATCCTCATCTTCATGATCCACCATGTTCACAGTACCTCTTTTAGGGCACTGATTGGATTGATGACCAGGCTATCCACATCTGTAACACTTGATCGGGTCAGGCTTGGCATAAGGGTTCGCTGGGGTAGGCTTCTTTGCTGTTGTTGTCGCTGGACCCTTGCCCTTCTCCGTTGTTGCATCCTGCTCAGAAACAGTTTGAGACTGTTTACTTCCAACACATTTGAAACTCGTGTGCGACCCGTCGGAAGCTGCCCATGATCCTTTACTATTTCGTCCGAGTTGTCGCTCCACCTTCTCGACTAGGCTAATTGTATCTGCTAAGGTATAGGTCTGTTGTAGAGATACACGATCCTGAATCGCCATCCTTAATCCCCCTGTATATCGAGACATCTGTTGGGCCTCGCTCTCATTCAAGTTGTTGCGGGATGACAACCGATAAAATTCCTGCGTGTACTCATCCACGGTTCTTCCACCCTGCTTACAATTATGGTACTGCCCGAATAAAACTTGTTCATAATCACTTGGCAAAAAACGGGCTCTCAGTAGCTTCTTCATCTTCTCCCACCTTTCGACCTTTGGCTTCCCTTGATGAGATCGATTCAGACAAACAGATTCCCACCAAGCTGAAGCTCCAATTTTGAGTCGGTAGGCCACCAATTTTACCTTAGGTTCTTTTGGGATCTCCATATACTCAAAGAACCTCTCTACTTCTGCAATCCAGTCGAGGAACTCTTCAATATGCAGTTGCTAGTTGAAAGATGGCAGATCCATCTTCATCTTAAAACCTCCAACGTCATAATTATCCCTTCGTGGCCGGTCTCTGTGATAACCACCATGGCATGGGGGTGCATAATGATCTTCCTCTCTGTCGGAATCTTCATACAAGTTGGCTCACGTCGTTGGCAACCATCAACGCAATTTCGATCTCCTGTCGTGTCCAGACGCTCTACTGCCGCAGCTAGTCACTCCATGACAGTCTTCATCTAATTAACATCGGCCTTTAGCACGTCGAACTTAGTTCGAGAGATATGGGCTTCATCACCTGCCATCGGATCAGAGAAATAAGGCTCTGATACCAATTGACGCAGCGCGAAAGCTGTCACCTCGGAATCCACCAATGGTGTTCTCTGAATCCACAAAGAACGATCTTCGAATCCACGAAGAGCTTCGAGAATCCACAAAGAACGATCTTCGAATCCACGAAGAGCTTCGAATCCACAAAGAAATATTGAGGAAAAACAAAATTTTATTAATCAAAAGTTATGATCCACGAAGAGCTTCGAATCCACAAAGAAATATTGAGGAAAAACAAAATTTTATTAATCAAAAGTTATGCCTCTAAGGCTTACAAGACTCTTCTTAAATAGAAAAAGAAACAAGACTCCTACAAGGATTCTAATTCCTACAATGACTCTCAACTTACCAAAAATGGTAAAGAATTCCTAAAACATTAAAACTTCTAAAAAGACTCCTTATGATTAGGAAAGTCCTCTGGTCAAATTTGAGATCAAAACGGATTTGTTTTCTAAACAAAACAGACTCCTAAAATATTACCAAAAATAATAAAAACGGACAAAAATGCAAATATCTCTCAAACCGTAAGGAATTTGGCGAAACTAAGAACGCAAACCAAACCCAAAGAGATAGGTTTGGATGGCTCCGTCTCGTCGAGATAGTCAATTTTCATATATAATTCGTCCAATTCCGACGTACGGTTTGAAAGTTACGGCCGTTTCTTCGAAACAAGTTATTTTCTTCGACCAGGCCCGCATTTGGGCTTGCGACTATCCCACTTTGACATAAATGTATCTGCTGTGTGTTCTACATCATGAAGGCAAAACACGATAAACTGGCAGGAACCCTACAGCCTTTACCCATTCTAGAATGGAAATGGACGGATACTTCTATGGACTTCATTATAGGATTGTCGAGATTAAAGAAGGGGAACGATTCAGTTTGGGTTATAGTTGATCGCCTGAAGAAGTCAGCACACTTATTACCAGTTAAGACCACCTATAAAGCAGAGACTTATGTGAAAATATTTATTTAAGAGATCGTGAGATTGCACGAAGTCCCATAAACGATGGTATCAGATTGAGACTCAGTCATTTACTTCATATTTCTAGAGGAGTTTCCAGAATTTGTTTGGTAGTCAGCTATCATATTCTAGTGTTTTCCACTCGTAGACGGGTGAGTAGACGGAGAGAGTTAACCAAGTGTTGGAAGACATGTTGCGGGTATGTATTATTGATTTCTAGAGTAGTTGGGAGGATCACATTCTGTTGATTGAGTTTTCTTATAACAATAGCTATCAAGCGACAATTGGTATGTCTCCATGTGAGGCATTATATGGAAGGCCTTGTAGACCCCCGATTTGTTAGGTAGAGCCGGAGGATAGTTTATTACGTAGGCCGGAATGTGTGAGGCAAACTACAGAGAAGATAGCAGTGATTCTGGAGCACATCCTTACAACGCAGAGTCATCAGAAGAGTTATGTAGATTAGAGGCGACGACCGTTAGAGTTCTAGATAGAGGATAATGTATTGTTGAAAGTATCTCTGATGAAGGGAGTTTATCGATATGGTAGGCGGGGAAAGCTAGTCCTGAGGTATGTTGGTCAATTTAGGATTATTGAACGCATGGGAGCCATTTCGTATCGGCTAGATTTTCCAGCATCAATGTCTAGTATACAGGATGTTTTTCATGTTTTAATGCTTAAGAAGCATTTATGCAATGAGAAGCAATAATGAGTGTTAGATGCACCAGAGATTGAGTTTAATGATGACTATGATAGAGATTCATGTTTGTATTCTTGCCAATAAGGACAAGTAGCTTAGAAATAAAGCGATACATCTGATTAAGGTTCAATGGAACCAGAACATAGCTGAGGAGACTTCTTGGGAGCGTGAGGAGGATATCTGTCGTGACTGCCCGCACCTGTTTGAGCAAGTAGATATGGTTTGATTATGTTTTATTCATGCTTATAATTTTTCTATATGGTCATATTTATACTTAGAATGGGGATAGTAATACTTAGTTTAATCATTCGGAACACATAGTATATATATGAGGGGTCTCTTATTTAGGTTTTTCGTCCGATGTACTAGTTCTGATTATTTAAGGATTAAGTGGGAGTACTCACATTCTAGACTATTAAGTGTATATATTTTTATAATACGTTTGCAGAATTTTAGGGACAAAATTTTTTTAAGGGGGAAGAATATAAAACCACGAAAATTTAAATATTATGTGATAAAAATAATAAATATGTTATTTGGTGATAAATAACATATTTTGATGTTTGAGTATGATAGGAATTGATTTGAGATCAAATCAATATATATGTGTGAATATATGACTGCAAATGCACAAATCATGCACAAATAAGAAATCTGGAAAAACATGACTAGTTAAGAGTTTATAATATTTTCATACTGATATAATTAGAATCTAGTAAAACTCAAAAGACAAAGGTTTTAGGTCTCTTTAACAGATTTCCAACAAATCTTAAACCACCTCATTCTGAGATCAGATGTGAAAGTTACAGCCAGAATACTAAATATAATTTACAAAAATACAGAGTAGTCGACTACTAAGCTTAGTAGTCGACTAGCGGGAGTTTTCCTGGACATATTAGGTTTGGTTTTTAGGTCGGATTCGAATCATTTTGAGACCAGATATTAACCTAAGTATATAAACATGTTTAAACCCTAATTCCTAGGTTATTTTCACATGGGTTACCAGCCACCATCCCCCCTCAAATCCTAGAGCTTGTTCTCGGTGTTCCTCGAGGAGATTCGAGGTAAATCGTTGAGTGGAGGGCGAGATTGCGTACTTTTGAGTAAGGAGGAACCTTGTACACGTGTCCAGAGGCTCGACACGAAGTTTGCGGCAAGATCACTTGCATCCAAACATGCATCCTTAGTTAATGAATGATTTAAAGTGTTTAAATTGATGTTTTGCATGCTTATTTATAACCCAATTTGTTAAAAATAAGGTTTTTGATGATAAATCTTAATAAAATGCTAGATCTAATGCTTTATCTTGCTGTTTATAATAGAAACGTGATCATGATCAATTGGGTTGTGTAGATCTTTGTTTGTAACTTGATTTCTATGTGTTAATCATGCTTAAAACCCTAAACTTGTGATATAAAGGGCTTACATGTTAATCAAGTTTGATTAGACCCTAGATTTAGGATATTTTGGATTTGTAAATGTGAATAAACAAATTATTATCAGTTTCAAGTTTAATATGCAAGCATCTATATGTTAATCTAGTCGATAACTAGGGTTTATGTCAAGTTTTAGTTTAATGAGGAGATTAAATCAAAAATAGTTGAATCAAGGGTTTAAATAATCATGGTGATGATTCTTTTGATTTGTATTTACTAGCTTTATATCATATTAAAGCATAATAAATATGTGATGATTGTTTGGTACTATTCGTACACGAAGTTGTGCATGTTTCTGCTAAGTAGTCGACTACTAAGAGTAGTAGTCAACTACTCGTGTCTAGTTTGGCTTGACAAAAACTGGAATAATACAGAGTAGTGACTAACGTTCTTATTAGTCGACTACTAATTCCTGATTCATGTATTACAGAGTCTGGTGGACTCAGTGTAGTCGACTACTAAGCTTAGTAGACTACTAAGGCTGATTTTCTGTATAATGTGGTATTTTGTTTTGAGATGCGAGCACGAGGCTTGAATTGCATGATAGTACATGTGTAGACATAATTATAAATGACTAGTGTCGAGATGCGAGCACGAGGCTTGAATTGCATGATAGTACATGTGTAGACATAATTATAAATGACTAGTGTCGTAGTACACGTGTTAGTACCCTAAAGAGGGATTTTGTGAAGTATTGTTTCGAGTACACTTTTCCTTTTGACATCGTATCTACACGAATGTATACAGAGTTTTATGAACCTATATTATGGTATCCGCTCTAGAGTGTGCGGAGAGGTTGGTGAATCTATAATATGGTATCTGCACTAGAGTGTCCGTAGAGGTTGGTGAA